GTAGCGCTCTGAATTAGTTCCGAACAGATTTGAAATGTGATCCGCAGAAAAATCAGTTTCGTTCGCGATGAGATTCAGAACTGATGTGGAACCAGTTCTTTGTTCGAGATTCAACTCCGGATCGACTCCGAACCAGTATGCTACTGATTTAGGATTACGAATTTGGAATCAGTTTATGAAAAGAAAAAGAATTCTATTTCACCAGGAACATTTTCGGAACAAGAAATTTACAACTTGGAACTTTCTCTTGCGCTAAGAGAACATACTCCGAACTTTATAATGTTCCCAGATCACTAAATTCTGAATTTTGAGTTACAATTCGCGCTTCTGGATCTACTCTAGTTCTATCGGTTCTAGGGATTTTAGATGTAGTGCTCTGAATTAGATTTAGAACTGATTCGGAACCAGTTCGTTGTCCGAGATTCAACTAGAATCAGTTCCGGATCGGCCCCGAACCAGTTTGCAACTGATTTAGGATTACAAAATAAGAATCAGTCAAGGAAAAGAAAAAGGATTCTATTTCACCAGGAACATTTCCGGAACAAGAAATTTAAAACTTGTAACTTTTTCTTGCGCTTAAAGAACTTACTCTGAACTTTATTATGTTCCCGGATCAAGAAATTCCAAATTTTGAGTTACCAGTTCTTTGTTGCAGGTTCCGGATCTACTCTGGTTCTATCAGTTCTAGGGATTTTAGATATAGCGCTCTGAATTAGTTTCGAACAGATTTGAAATGTGATCCGCAGAAAAATTAGTTTCGTTCGCGGTGAGATACAGAACTGATTCGGAACCAGTTCTTTGTTCGAGATTCAACTCCGGATCGACTCCGAACTAGTTTGCAACTGATTTAGGATTACGAATTTGGAATCAGTTTATGAAAAGAAAAATAATTCTATTCCACCAGGAACATTTTCGAAACAAGAAATTTACAACTTAGAACTTTCTCTTGCGCTTAGAGAACTTACTCCGAACTTTATAATGTTCCCAGATCACTAAATTCTGAATTTTGAGTTACAATTCGCGCTTCTGGATCTACTCTAGTTCTATCGGTTCTAGGGATTTTAGATGTAGTGCTCTGAATTAGATTTAGAACTGATTCGGAGCCAGTTCGTTGTCCGAGATTCAACTAGAATCAGTTCCGGAACGGCCCCGAACCAGTTTGCAACTGATTTAGGATTACGAATTTGGAATCAGTTTAGGAAAAGAAAAAGGATTCTATTTCATCAGGAACATTTCCGGGACAAGAAATTTAAAACTTGGAACTTTTTCTTGCGCTTAAAGAACTTACTCTGAACTTTATAATGTTCCCGGATCACTAAATTCCGAATTTTGAGTTACCAGAACATTGTTGCCGGTTCCGGATCTACTCTGGTTCTAACGGTTCTAGGGATTTCAGATGTAGCGCTCTGAATTTTTTCCGAACAGATTTGAAATGTGATCCGCAGAAAAATCAGTTTCGTTCGCGATGAGATTCAGAACTGATGTAGAACCAGTTCTTTGTTCGAAATTCAACTCCGGATCGACTCCGAACCAGTATGCTACTGATTTAGGATTACGAATTTGGAATCAGTTTATGAAAAGAAAAAGAATTCTATTTCACCAGGAACATTTTCGGAACAAGAAATTTACAACTTGGAACTTTCTCTTGCGCTTAGAGAACATACTCCGAACTTTATAATGTTCCCAGATCACTAAATTCTGAATTTTGAGTTACAATTCGCGCTTCTGGATCTACTCTAGTTCTATCGGTTCTAGGGATTTTAGATGTAGTGCTCTGAATTAGATTTAGAACTGATTCGGAACCAGTTCGTTGTCCGAGATTCAACTAGAATCAGTTCCGGATCGGGCCCGAACCAGTTTGCAACTGATTTAGGATTACAAATTTAGAATCAGTTAAGGAAAAGAAAAAGGATTCTATTTCACCAGGAACATTTCCGGAACAAGAAATTTAAAACTTGTAACTTTTTCTTGCGCTTAAAGAACTTACTCTGAACTTTATTATGTTCCCGGATCAAGAAATTCCGAATTTTGAGTTACCAGTTCTTTGTTGCAGGTTCCGGATCTACTCTGGTTCTATCAGTTCTAGGGATTTTAGATGTAGCGCTCTGAATTAGTTTCGAACAGATTTGAAATGTGATCCGCAGAAAAATTAGTTTCGTTCGCGGTGAGATACAGAACTGATTCGGAACCAGTTCTTTGTTCGAGATTCAACTCCGGATCGACTCCGAACTAGTTTGCAACTGATTTAGGATTACGAATTTGGAATCAGTTTATGAAAAGAAAAATAATTCTATTCCACCAGGAACATTTTCGAAACAAGAAATTTACAACTTAGAACTTTCTCTTGCGCTTAGAGAACTTACTCCGAACTTTATAATGTTCCCGGATCACCAAATTCCGAATTTTGAGTTACAGTTCTTTGTTCCGGATCTACTCTAGTTGTATCGATTCTAGGGATTATGGATGTAGCGCTCTGAATTTGTTTCGAACAGATTCGAAATGTGATTCGCAAAAAAATTAGTTTCGTTCGCGATTGATTCAGAACTGATTCGGAACCAGTTCTTTGTTCGAGATTCAAATAAAATCAATTCCGGATCGACTCCGAAGTCAGAACCAGTTTCCAACAGATTTAGGATTACGAATTTGGAATCAGTTTCAGGTAAAGAAAAAATATTCTATTTCGCCAGAAACATTTTCGGAACAAGAAATTTAAAACTTGGAACTTTCTCTTGCGCTTAGATTTTAGGACTTACTCTGAACTTTATAATGTTCGCGGATCACTAAATTCCGAGTTTTTAGTTACATTTTTTTGTTCGCGGTTCCAAATCTACTCTAGTTCTATCGGTTCTAGGGATTTTAGATGTAGTGTTCTGAATTAGTTCCGAACAGATTCAGACTGTGATTCGCAGAAAAATTAGTTTCGTTCGCGATAATAGAATCAGAACTGATTCGAAACCAGTTCTTTGTTCGAGATTCAACTAGAATCAGTACTGGATCGACTCCGAACCACTTTGCTACTGGTTTAGGATAACGATTTTGGAATCAGTTTAGGAAAAGAAAAAGGAATTTAAAACTTAGAAATTTCTCTTGTGCTTAGAGAACTTACCTTATAATGTGCCCGGATCACTAAATTCCGAATTTCGATTTACAGTTCTTTGTTTCGGTTTCGGATTCACTCTAGTTGTATCGGTTCTAAGGATTATGGATGTAGGACTCTGAATTAGTTCCGAACAGATTTGAAATGTGATCCGCAGAAAAATTAGTTTCATTCGCGGTGAGATTCAGAACTGATATGGAAACAGTTTGTTTGTTCGAAATTCAAATAGAATCAGTTCCGGATCGACTCCGAACCAGTTTGCATCTGATTTGGGATTTAAGAATTTAAAATCAGTTTAAAATCTGTTTTTTTTTTAAAGATAAAAGTCAAAATGACATTATGTTGGCAATGCAATGTAAAATTGTCAATGCTTTCAAATTTTTTGTGTAGAAAAGGCTTGTGTTGCCAACAAAGTTACTAAATTTTTGACTTGGGGAATAGACCTATCTATTTTACCAGACAAAGAGGTAATAATACGAAACCTTTATTAGATAGAAAAAGACGCAGAACGCTTATTGCGCAAGACGAGGCAAAACATACCAAATTATGTTAGACTTACGTATAGCAATCCGTTCTTATTATTTGCACGGGATAAAAAAGGAAGGAGGAAAACCGCGTGACATGCACCGTATTTGTCAATCAAAAACACAAACAACTGAAAATCGATCACTTGTCAAGCTACGTCAAGTTGAATATCAAGCATAATTTTATCCTTGTCAGACCAAGGGCAATGAACAAGGGCAAGGATATGCCCAGCGTGCAAAAGGATTACTTCACACCTGTACTAGTTGACCAATAAAAATGTATTGCCTCGTGTTGCGCGCGCATACAGGTAAAAATTGATAGGTCTATTATCTTTAAAAAAAAACCAGACTTTAGGAAAAAAAGATTTTATTTCACCGGGAACATTTTCGTAACAAGAAATTTAAAACTTGGAACTTACTCTTGCGCAGAACTTACTCTGAGATTTATAATGTTCGCGGAGTACTAAATTCCGAATTTTTAGTTGGTCCGCGGTTCCGGATCTTCTCTAGTTCTCTCGGTTCTAGGGATTTTAATCATCATCATCAGCTACACATTTTTGGTTTTTGAAGAACTTGTAATTGAATGTAGACCAGAAGTAGCTTTAGAAGCAGCCCCATCTTATGTAATTTTTGAAGCATCTTCTTCGCAAATTGATTCCTCGCGAGTAGCTTTAGAAGAAGGAAATGAATCCCACTCTTTCGGGAAATTTGCAAGAGGACAAAAGGAGCTTCAAAAATACATACCAGAAACTCCAGAAGGAGGTTATTGAATAAGCAACTGACTCAATAGTGGCTCCTGGAGCATTCATTTATTGAGAAGAATGAGAACCAGAACTAGAAGCTGAAAAGAAGGTGAAAACATAATAAACTCCTCAGCTTAGTCTGGGAATTCAATTGAAAAAAAAAAGGATATTTACCAAAAGCTTCTAAAGAAACTCCCAAAGAAGCATCTATACTGGAACATTCATTTCTGGGTTGAGTTTTCCCTAAACTGAAATTATTTGGTGTATGATTTGTCTATAAGATCCTGAACTAATACAACTATACAGTGTTTTTGCTCCCTTTAACCTCAAGATTGCCCACGTACATTCCCAAATGGATTTTTCCACTGAATGTCCTCGCTTCTCCACTGAAAACCTATTACCTTTGTGTTTATCAGACGTTCAAAATAATATTTGTTGTCGGAACGAGGCGAGCTTATACATTATTTTCTCCTTTTTTGGACCGTTTTTATCCCCCTTGCTTTCAAGGGTTTTATCCACTTTTCCTTCGCTTCACTCGTTCACAACGGACATAAATGTTTGCGCAAAATTTTCAAGTTTAGCGTAGAGCTAATTAATTTAAGACTCACGTTGCAAAAAAAAAAAAAAACGACTTACCTTGGGATCAAAATTAAAAACAGTGTCGTACTTAAAGTGACACTCAAGGCCGCACTTGCACGTCCCAGATGTAAGCAAGTACTCCTTCACTTGTTCCAAAGAACTTAAAGCTGTATTACTGGGACTGAAACAAGAAGAAAATTACAAATTAGTTAAATAATAAGATCAAAAACATTATGAGGTTATATTTGGCTTTTGGATGTTAACCTAGCTTTTTTAAATTTATTCTATTTTCTTCTTATGCAAGAACCCAATGCACAAATTTGTGTAAAATTCTATTTTAATATGGTTTGAATGTAAATATCAGTTACTTTATGTATAACGATGTTTTATAATGTTGCATGCACATTATCTATTTTTGTGTTAATTAGTGAACGTCATCCATTATGATAACCATATTCACTACTGACGATATTCCCGAAAAACAAAAAGCATATCAGAACAAAAGCAGCATATAGTTTCAGGTTACTAATAATTAATGAAACTTTAAAGCCCCCTCGTTAAAACGCGAATTCCGGTTGAAACGCGGAACTGAACAGTAGGAACAACGGGGAGCAAAATTGTTTTATCTCCTTTTTTTTTTTTGTTCCTTCTATTCGCCGTACTAAATTAAATTTGCTTTTCGTAGACAAAAACAACTAATTACGTCTCTACCGGGCATGGAATAGTGTTTGAAGGGAAATAATTACGTTCTCCCAAAAGTAGTTGGCACCTAATTAAAATCGTTTGATAAAGTTGGGAAATTTAATTTGTGCACTATTGGCAAGGAACTATCTATTGAAAATTGAGTTATATAAGAAGCCGCTCAGATGTCAGTAGTTTATATATCTTCTCAATCGGCCTATTACTGCTAATTATCCATAGGCATAAATTATAACCTGGAAACAGGTATTTTATATAAATAAAACAACTGGCTGATGGCGTAAAATTTAATTATTAGCTATGCCTGATATGCACCGATAAAATATTATTATTGCGGCATACTCTTCTTTTTAACAAACAGTTATTATTAATAGCTCTTCTGCATTAACCCAGCTGCAAGATAAACATTAAAACGCGGTATGGCCGATCCATCTTTTGCATTCCTGAACGTCAGCTACGGTATACGCACATTCGTCACGGTAGTTTAAAATAACGCATCAGACCCAGAGAAGGCTCTGGTGTCTCCTACGGTATATTATTTTATGTTAATCGTGTATATAGCTTATTTTCTTCAGGCGGTATAGTAAAGTGTCGTATCAATCGTATAATCTTCGACTTAGTTAGATTCCTTAGAAGAATTAATTACTTAATAGAAAGCTTTGAACCAGAATTTTGCATTCTTGCCATCTGAATCTGTGGAGTAATGTTTTGACATGGTGATATTCTCAATTTTTCGTATATTTTGCTCAGGAACTAAGCGTAAAATAGGAAGCTGTTGATGAAGACAAGCTCAATGGAAGAGGATACGGAAAAAGCAAAAAAGAGAACCCAAAATGAGGAGTCTAAACCTTAATTCTTCATAGTTTTGGATTCAAAAAGTTCAGAATTTTTCATTACAATTTTGGATTCCATCGAAGCTGCTACAGAGGCTCTTAAATCAACTCTAGACATGCTGGAACATATTTCTGAATTATTTCAAAAGTGCAAAATTTGTAACAATGAGCTTCACTTCAGGAGTTACTTGAATAACCATTTCTTGTTGACTCATGGTTTTATGAAGATGCTCCTGATCAAAAATATAAGTTTGCTCGTGACCCATCAATCAACAACTTGACACTAGCCATATGGCCTTGTCTGAACAGCTTTCACTTTAATTCCTTTAATTTTTGTTTACCTTATCCTCTATAATATTTCAGCAATAATTACAACAGTTGCAGATCCTGTAAATTTTCTAATTTTCAATATTTATTCTAAACAACTAAATATTCATTTGTCAAAAATATTTTTTTTTGGGTTATGTCCCCAAATCATTATAATCCGTTTTCAAAGTGTATGTACCGAACTACTCGGTTCGGCTATTGAGCTCAGTACAGTTCTAGTGGAACCCGGTTCAATCATTGGTTCCATAATCTTTGATATGTGTTCTGCACTATCCTTGCTTTCCATTTTTTTTGACTTTTGAAGTGGCATTAATTTTTGTCAACTGGCTGTCGATTAGTAATGTTTTAAGTTTTTGGGATCGTCGATTCCTGTTAAGCCCTTTAATTTTGCAACACGGATCACTTACTCCATATCGTATTCTTCAAATTATAATTCTTCTATTGGATAATTCCTTGTTTCTTTGATTATATTGTTGTGTGCAATTTTTGGTAAGTAAGAATTCTATCGATTAATTTTTGACATTTGTCGTTATCCTGAGTCATTTCTGAATCCCTACCTTTAGGTCAGCTAATTAATTTGATGTGTAGCACATTTCTTTCACGTTCTGGTTGCTTCGAAGGTCTCCTGAAGAATCTATTTTTTTTTCTTCGCCTTAAAAAGGGATTTTGGACCTAATTTTCTTCTCAATTGAATTTATCGCACACTGAGTTTTTTTGCGTTGTGTTTAATTTTTGTGAAGTGCTATAATTTTCGCCGATGTTATCAGATTTGAAAACAATCATTTCGGTAAGTCTTGCTGTGCACGCTTTTTCCCACAAGTAGATTCTGACTTTTTCCATTTAATCATTAGTGAAAAGCTGCCCCAAAAAGAGTAGAGTAACATCTCACTCACTCTAGGATATTCAATCCAGACCTCGATCCAGACTTCCAGAGTATTTTGAGGTTATTACCTGTTGTAAATAGAGTATTTTCGAGGCAAACAAACCCCTATTTCCAACAGGTAATAACCTCAAAATACTCTGGAAGTCTAGATTGGATATTCTGGAGTGAGTGAGATGTTACTCTACTCTTTAGGGCAGCTTTTCACTAATGATTGAATGGAAAAAGTCAGAATCTACTTGTGGGAAAAAACGTGCACAGCAAGACTTACCGAAATGGCTGTTTTCAAATCCGATAACATCGGCGAAAATTATAGCACTTTACGAAAATTAAACACAACGCAAGAAAACTCAGTGTGCCATATATTCAATTGAGAAGAAAATTAGGTCCAAAATCCCTTTTTAAGGCAAAGAAAAAAAATTAGATTCTTTAGGAGACCCTTTCTTCGAAGCAACCAGAACGTGAAAGAAATGTGCTACACATCAAATTAATTAGCTGACCTACATGTAGAGATTCAGAGATGATTCAGGATATGGATGGAATTCTCACTTACCAAAAATTGCACACAACAATATAATCAGAGAAAAATGACAACGGCTGACTGGTAAACGTGTGGTTGTTACCTAGCAGGTACTTTCTATGCACTAGAGAATAGAAAATACCTGCTAGGTAACTACCAGACAGTTACCAGTTGGTCCATAATTTGGTCCTAACAGGAATACAGGAATCGACAATCCCAAAAACCAAAAATATTACTAATCGACAGCCAGTTGACAAAAATTAATGACACCTCAAAAATCAAAAAAAATACAAAGCAAGGATAGCGCAGAAAACATATCAAAAATTATGGAACCAATGATTGAACCGGGTTCCACTAGAACTGTACCGAGTTCAATAGCCGAACCGAGTAGTTCGGTACATACACTTTCAAAACAGATTATTATAATTTGGGGACATAACCCCAAAAGAAATATTTTTGACAAATGAATATTTATTTGTTCCTTATGAAAATTAGATTTTGAAATGGAATTAAAATATGGATTAAAATCGAGGAAAAATCATTACATCACAGGAACTAGTAACAAAGGAAAATAGAATTTAAATATTAAAAATTAGAAAATTTACAGGATCTGCAACTGTTGTAATTATTGTTGGAATTTTATAGAGGATAAGGTTAACAAAAATTAAAGGAATCTTGAATAGAAAACTGAAAAACAAGCATAAAATAGTTAGGCAATTTTGGCTCGTTACAAGATGAAGGGAAGAACTTGAGCCTAGAAGATAAGAGTATTCTGAACAAACTACTCCATTTCAATGCGGATTTGTTCCAACCAAGTTCTGAACCAACACCGTTTGCTGAACATTCTATTGATTTATTAATAAACTATATTCCAGTGGCTGTTCCACCATAACGTATATCAGAAACCAAGAAGCTAGAATTTTTAAAATAAATTGATGAGTTGCTCGCACAAGGAAATTATTGTAGAGTGTGAATCTCCTTATGCTGCGCCTGTGGTGCTGGTTCCGAAAAATACACGCCCAGATCGATACCCATTGCCTAGGATCGATGATATCCTCCATGCAGCACAGAGAACTCAGTACATGACAACTTTAGATTTGAGATCCGTTTATCACCAGACAACTGTTAAGCCTAGCGATAGAGACGAAATCACTTTCATCTGTCCTTTTGGGACGTTTCGTTACACACGAATGCCGTTCGGCTTACGCAATGCACCCTCGACGTTCCAAGGACTGATTGACAGATTCTGTCCTGGCCTTCAGGATCTGAACATATTTGCATATCTTGATCTGATCATTCTGTCAGAATCGTTCGAATGTGTCGAATCCAGCTGCGATCCGCCCCAGAATAGTTGGCTACAGAACCGGCAGCACCGGCTGTCACCTGGACAGGCCCCAGAGAACTGATCGTTGACGCGAGTATGACGTATGGCGCCAAGTCAGTACATTCTCTCGCTTCGATAACAAAATGAACGTGCAACGACCTTTTTCAGTTTTCTATCTATTTTCAACCTCTGTTGAGAATTTTATGTAAATAAACAGTTAATCAGACAAGTGCCCTTTATTTGCCCGTCGCAAAAGGCCACAACAATTTGAGCAGTTTTTTTTTTTTTAGAGTGCCCCATCTGTTTCGGAGATTGCTGTAAAAGCAACTCTAGACGATTTGAAACTACATAGTTTTAGGATACTTTTGAAAGTGTAAAGACCTCGGCAAAGACTGTGTGAATGAATGACTCGAAGTTGTTTCAGACACTTTTAAAGCTACTTTGATCACATTAGATCCGAATTTTTAAGACTTTTCTTGAAGAAGCTTAAAAATTTGGATTCTTTGGAAGTTGCTCCAGACACTTTAGAAGCCACTCTAAATTGAGTAGAGCTTAATGTATGTGTCTGTACAAGAATTTAGAGATATGTATAGAAAAA